AACAATATATATATATATAACAATATATATATATATATATATTGCATTGTGTTCACCACTCAAAGATAGATTTCCTTCTGTCACCAAATATTTGACCCCTTTTATCCCTATCTACCTCCCCACTTGTTCTTTTTAATGGATTCTTCATCTAAGGAACACACATATAGCTAGTACAAATCTCAACTCACAAATTCAGGTGTAAAATAAATGAAACTTTATCTAAGACTGAAGAATTTCTTATGTGACCTCCTTTCTTCTGGGTGGCAGGGACACAATCTCAATCATTATGGGGGCCCATCCCTTAGCTGCGTCTATCAAGATGTCTGATGGCAGGGTGAGTTGTATTATCTGTCCACACTGGCCTCTGCAGGAGACAAAGTCTCAATTTGTGGCTCTTGCCAGCTACTGCTTAGTCATCCCTCTTCCCAACCACAAGACCTGTCCAGGTCCAGCTTCGTCTCTCCACTACTTCTAGGCTCTGCGCTTCTCTCTGCTGTACAGAGTTCATTAGGAAGCTCCCATTCTGGACCATGGGTCCTATGCACAGAGTCTTGGGGAACCTGTGGGGCTGCCCCAGGGCCCGCCATGCAGCCGTCACTTCTCTGGAGTCTGGTCACCTCCCTGGGGCTCTAGGAAGGCAGAAGCACTCCTCTGCTCTCGGATTGCTCAACCGTCTGGGGGTTCTCCCCTCCCAGGACTTCCTCAAATCTCTACATTTGTATTATAATTTCAGTCTTCTTCTACTTAATATTGATCACTAGCCACACTCTATGTTTCCTTTTATTTGTATGTAAGGACATGGAAGTACTTATAATTGTAAAAGCAAGATACTGAGTATATACAGTTTATTACTGCGATGTTAAAAACAAAAACAAAAACACCTACATAGAAAAAAAGACTGGAAAGAAATAAATCAAGACCATGTGGATGAGGGTGTGACCCCTGGGGAGAGCAGAGCAACTAGAACCAGACTAGAGTCAGGGAGCTTCCACATGAGCCCTAGACGGCGTACCTTCAGAGGATTAATGAGAAATAAACATATATTATGTTTAAACCAAGTACACACACACACAAACAGTGGTATTTAAAATAGTATAGTGGTATTGTGAATTTTTATTTATTTATTTATTTGTTATCACTTTTCTCTGGTTTCCAAATATTTATGGATAATTACTTTTATAGTGAAATAAATTTATTCATTCATTAAACAAACCTTTACTAAGGGATTAGATATGCCAGACGCTAAGCAAAGAATTGACGAAGAGCAATATAAAAGGCGGACATGGTCTCTGTCCTTGTAGAGGTTTTAATCAGAGAAAAGAAATATGGGACAAGTAATAAGCAGTCATGAGCATTGTCCCAGAAAAATACAGAATGCTAACTGAATATATGACAGGAATATATGGGGTTAGGGAAGGGACAGTCAGAAAAGTCTCTTCTGACCATAAAGCAAGTTTCAACAAATTTCAATAGACAAATTACACAGAGTTTGTTTGCTGACTATAATGCAGTCACATCTGCAATTGATAACAAAAAGTTACCTAAAAAATACCCATATATCTGGAAATTGAGATACATTCCTAAATAACCTATAGGTCAAAGAATTCCTAAAGAAAATTAGAAAATGTTTGAATGAAAATACTACAAAATTTATTGGAATAGCTAAAGTAGTATAAGAGGGACATTTATAGCCTTAATGTTGAATAGAAATAAATATAATTTTTCAAAATCTTAAGAATCTTTTCATGAACTTGCAGTTGAAAAAGATTTTTTAAACAAGATACAAAAAAGAATTAACTATAAATGGAAAAACATTATAAATAGAACTGTATTTAAAATAAGACTTCTTTCAATAGATACTATTTTGAAAGTGAAAAGGCAAGTCACTCAGAAAGGGAAAAGCTTTGTAACACATATAACTGACAAAGAGCTCATTATAAGACTATATAAATATATTCTACAAACCAATAAGTAAAAGACCACTCAATAGGAAGATGTACAAAAGATTTAAACAAGGCCAATTGTAATAGCCCAAGAGTATAATAATTATAATATTGTATATAAATATAAATATTATTATTATTTGTGGTGGTTTTATCTAGGGTAATAACAATAAGCTAAAGATATATGAATACACTAAAGAGATATTTACATGCTGGGCTATTTATAATCATAAAATATTTGCTTTATTTTATATTTAATAATATAAATATATACAAAATAAGCATTCAATCAAAGCTTCAAATGTATTTTAATTTAAGTTTTTATGACTTCCAGAAAGTTGAATTTTTCATTCTGTAGAAGATGATATTCTTTGCTTGGGAGTTTTCTTTCCCTCAGCATGTCTTCCTAATCTACCAAGAAATATCATGACTAGAAAGCAATAACATAAAAACTACATTTTAAGTGACGAGTTTGTTCCATAAACATTCACCTGGAGCTCTTCAACCAAGGTTGGTGTAGCTCCATTTCTGGCTAAGCTGAAGTTTAGACATGGTGGCAGCAATGAGCAAACTTCTCTTCCTCCTATCATCCTGGCCTCCAGGACCCATTTATCCTGCCCATATCTGAATATAAGTAAATACCAAAGAGTCCTGATCTATCTAGTGCCACAGTGTGTGCCTTATAGAGTAGCTAGGAGTATTTCAGCCACCATTGGGCCACCACCAGATTCTGAGTGCACAGCATGGTGTGCAGAAGAGGAGAGGAAGAAATCCAGACTACCTAACTGACCATCTGACTTGTTTCCTGCTCCCAAAGCACCAGGATACGAGTACACAAATAGGTATCTGAGCTTCCCAAAATGATTTTAAACTCTGCTTCCACCATGACTCCCATTTGGCTTCCAAAGCCAACTACAGTCAGGATTCATTTTTCATTAATAGTAAAAAAAAAAAAACAACAACATTCATTTCATATACACAAACTAGCAACGGTGCATTTCTCAAGGACTTTTAAATTCATTTTAGTGCCCTTAACTGGGCTCCTGCAAGTAGGACTTGTTGGAGAGATTCAGTCTGATATTAAGAATAAAGGGGGAAAGTGAGGAGTTTCAGATTGTGCTATAAAGAAGAAAGAAAGAACTCTCCACAGACTATGGAGATATAAGTATAAACGTTGAGTCAGTCATGACAGAATTTCTACTTCTCAAGTCTGGAGTCAGTTTATCCAGGTTGGAAGTCTAGCTCCACCAATTTAGGCCTCTAAATGTGCAACCTTTAGCAAGTGGCTTTGCTTCCCTAGGCCTCAGTTTTCTGCCCCATGTGGGAGAAAAGTGAATAACAGAGTACTCAGCTCAAAGGATTGTTATAGGAATTAAATGAGACAATCCATGTAAAGCACTTAAAACAGTACCAAGCACATTGTAATAATAACTGGTGTCCCCCTAATTCCAGTGGCTGCTGAGAGTCCCCTCTATTCTAGCTTGAGGTGGAAAAGATGTCTCAAACCCTGAACAGTGGTGTCCAGGGAGCTACCAGCACTTAGGCTACATGCTTGAAGAAGGCAGCTTTCTTGAAAGGGCTTTAGGTTAAGTCAAACCTTCCCCCATCCTCAAACCAGAGTTCTCCTGCCATCTAGTGCCCAATGGCAGCAAATGCCTAAATTTCAATGTCAAGGTCCCTGTCCTTGTATCTCCCCTACTTACTGTCTCCTTTACTACTACAGGCTCCAAGTCAGCAGAATCACTTGGCTTTCCCAAAGCTTCAAGTTCTTTCACACTATTTTGTTCACAGCAGCTCCCTATGCTTGATGTAACATTCTCCTCACATCTCATGTCAGGCAAACACCCACTCATCTTCAAGAAGCCTTTCCTGAGGCACCTGAACAGTTCACCTCCTTCTTGCCAGTCCCTGCCACCCCCTATAGCACATCCTTTCCAGCATTGCCTGTGTCTGCCCGCTTCACTTTCACCGATGCTCCCCTGTGGACCTTCATCCCTAGCAAGGTGCCCTGTGTCTAGCAGATGCCCAATATGTGTTCAGTAAATGAATGCACAGAAGAGTAAAATTGGGGGTGGAAGGTGAAGCACTCCAGACAGAACTGTTCCAGGAGTTCTGGCACAAAAATGCTTCATTATGTATTAAATATCTATAGCCTCTGCATTACCTTTGAGGCTAATAATTTTTTATTGGAAATAAATGCATAAACATACATCTACCAACAAGCCAACATTTTCACTTCGAGTTATTTACCCACGAGTAAATATGGATAAATACCCAAGGGTATGGAAATCTATGCCTACAAAAGACTTTCACAGTCATTTTATTCATAATCTATGCCTACAAAAGACTTTCACAGTCATTTTATTCATAACAGCTAATAACGGGAAAAGACCCAAATGTCAACAGGGAAATAGAAAAACAAATAGTGATACGTCCGTTCAATGGAATACCATTCGGCAGCAAACAGCAAACAACCACAAGGCTCAATCCGAAAAGTTTATGCTGGGAGAAAAAGTCAGATATGAAAAGAGTACATATTGAATGATTATAAACATATATGTATATATATAGTATATAGATATATGTGAGGTGTGTGTGTGTGTGTGTGTGTGTGTGTGTGTGTGAAATTCTAAAAAGGAAAAATGTAATCTGTAGTGATAGAAAGTAGATCAGTGGTGGCCTGGAGTCAGAAGTGAGGGATTGGGGGGAGAACGGGCAGAAACTGGAAAAGGGCAGGTTTGTTAAAATTCATCAAGCTGTACATCTAATATTTGGACATTTTTCTGTATGTTAATTATTCGTATTAAAAGTGTTAAAAATTTGAAGGCGGAGAAGGAAGAGAGGGGAGAAAGGTAGTAGCAATGCGAGCACGGTCGCCGTGCGGAGATCAAGTGAAGCAGTCCTCCGCTGCCCAAGGCGAGGTGAGCACGGAGGACAGCCAGGCGGGGAGCTGGAGCCAGTGGCAGTCTGGAGCGCTGCCGTCTGGCGTGCAGTTGCTCCTCTCGGACGCCAGGCGGCGGCGTGGGCCAGGGAAGGACCTGCCGCCTTGACCCGGGAAGCGGCGGCGAGGGGGCGGGCCCGTGTGAGGAGTCCATGTGGGCGCCGGCGCGACCCGGTGCAACGCGGGGTCACCATGGCGGAGCTGCAGCAGCTCCGGGTGCAGGAGGCGGTAGACTCCATGGTGAAGAGTCTGGAGAGAGAGAACATCCGAAAGATGCAGGTAGCGGGGCGGGGACCGATTTGAGGGGACCCCGGTGGTGCGGAATTCGCGGCATCTTCCCACATCGTCCCGCGCCGCCGCCCCCTTCTCCGCAGATCCGGGTCGAGGTGTCCCTGGGGTCGCTGCGGCTCCCTCGGAAACAGGTGTTACCCTCAGACGGAAAACTGGAGCTTCGGCCGAGCAGATGAAATCTGTGCGCCCTCGCCACGCGCAAGGCCGTTTTCCACCCAGGCCAGCCAGAGGTGGCGACGGGCGGGTCCCCGGACCAGGGTTAGAAAGCCCCTGGTATGAGACATTGGCCTCCCCCACCTTTCCTTCTTGCGCGGCCCCTTCTGCGGGTGAGCAGTCCAAGGCCCAGAAAGAGCACGGCCAAGGTGAAAGACCAGAAAGGCAAAAGACCAGAAGGGTGAAAGTGCTTCACCTCCTAAGTGGCCAGGTCATGCCCGGTTCTTCGCTCCACCCAGTACTGGTTTATATGCTGTACTGCTTTGATCCCCCTAACTGTTATGTTGGTGGTGGTCTTGCCTTCTTAACTCGATTATGGGTTTCCTTTGTAGTGCCCCTTGAGTCATTGATTAATGGATTGGCTTCCCCCCGGTGGAATACAGATTACTCGGTTGCTGACCTCTGAAACCCTGTGGTATAGGCACCCGGTTTTCAGAATTTGGCTTTAGCTGACTCACCGCCACCTTCCTGTCCATCCAGCCTTTGAAGCAACAAGTGCCACTGAGCTAGCAGCAAGAAGGCCATGAAACACTCTGCGAGGCATTGAGGATAATTTTCCCCTTTGTGGTCTTAAGGTCCTGATGTCTCTTCTGAGGTGCAAATGTAGACGCTCCTCTTAACCTCTGTTGCACTCCGTGGCCATCTCTGTCCCAGGGGTTTTCTTGCCTAACCTCTCCCTGCCATCCCTCCCCAGGGCCTCATGTTCCGGTGCAGCGCCAGCTGTTGTGAGGACAGCCAGGCGACCATGCAGCAGGTGCACCAGTGCATTGAACGCTGCCACGCGCCTCTGGCTCAAGCACAGGCCCTGGTGACTAGCGAGTTGGAGAAGTTCCAGGTGAGGAATATCCCAGACAGAGAGAGGACTGTACTCCTTGTTGTTGCTCTTTAGCAAGAAATGACAATAATTTGCCACAAAACTCTCAGCTTTAGTGTCTTGGTCCTGTTAACATTGATGACAGTGGAATAGCCAACCAGTCTTCACAGGGTTTGAAATTTGGGACAAAGTCCTGAAGATTGAGTGCTGTCTGTATTTCCCATAGAAACAATGAGTGACCAACGGAGGTCATGACCAAGTAGAGCCTTATGTTTTTCTTTTCTATAGACACCAAATATAATATGTATACTATATAGTACATAGCTTTCTAAAACATATTAATTCATTCCTACAACAGCAGAATCCCCAGGAAAGTGAGAATAGGCTTGTCTTTAAAAAGTGCAGATTAGAGCAAGATCCTGTCATCGTTTTGTGGACTTACCCACCCAGAATTGCCCCTACTTGATACACCCAGAAGGCATGTCACTAAAGAGCAGTCATTTATATGAAGCATTGTTATTGTTGACTCCTGGAGACCTACCTCAAAAACCCTTCTGAGGTCACTAAGAACCCTGCCCACCCGCTTCCCTCTCTGAAGCAAAGAGTAGCCACAACTTCACTTTACTCCCTCCCTCTGAATATACTTTTCTGGAACTTGGGAAGTAGGGCCCACTTCTGAACTAGTTGTTCGTAGCCTGGGATTCTGTTCACATGGAAAAGTTATATCTAATGTGATACATTTTTACATTCTGCTGTATAAAATTCTTTAAAATTACTAACACTATAAAGGAATAACATCTCCAAGATCATAAAACTCCAAAAGGTTTCTTTGTGTTTATTCTGACCTATTTTTATAAATAGAGTCTTTGAAATTTTGATTCTCGAATTGCTGTATAACTTCCATGGCCAACCTCCTGTTTACCAGAAGCATCACCAAACCATTTTTCAATCCTCTCCAATCAGACTCACTCTCCCACTGTACCAGAACTGCCCTTGCCATTCCCCACCATGAGGCTAAATCCAGTGGGCATTTCTCATTCCTCACCTTACTCAACCTGTCTGCATCTTTGACACAGTGGATCATTCTCCCCCTCCTTGCAACACTTTATTCAGGACACCCCACTCTCCTGGTTTCCCACCTCTCTTGGCTTATCTTTTCAGTGGCCGCCCTTGCTGGCTTTTCCCCTCTCTAACCTCTGAACATTGGAATGCCTTGGGCTGTTCTTGGACCTTTTCTCTTTTCTATCTAGTTCTCTAGTCTCATAGGTATAAATATCATCTATATGCTGACAACTCCTACATTCATAACTGTAGACCAACTTCACTCCTGATATCCAAATTCACATATTCAACTGTTTCTTCAACATCACTTATTTATTTTGTTGGTCTTTCTGCCCTCACTGAAATATAAGTTCTTTGAGGGCAAGAATTTCATCTGTTTTACTCATTGCTGTATTCCCCAACATTGGAAGAATACCTGGCACGTAGTAGATACTCAATAAATAATTGTTGAATTGAATGTTTTTCTGTAGCAAGGATAGATATTAAAGAATCAAGATATTTGTCTTTCTGTAATTGAGTAACTATCCTCTAGTTACTTCTCACTTTCTGGAAGGGGCTCCTGTACAGTTTATTCTGTCATTCACCTGCTTTCTTGTGCTTGGTCTGGGCCCTCCTGGTGCCATCCTTTGTTTCAATCAGGATAATCGTGGTTAATTGCCCTATAATGTCCCTTTAGTTCGTCAAGGTAGTACATGTCAAACCAAAACACAGCAAGTCCTTGAATAACACCATTTTGTTATAACATTGGTGAGATACCATAGGAACTTAACTCTTTTTTATTTTAATTAACCTGTGGTAAATTTGATTTCGTTATATGTTGTTTTGCCACAGTTGCAAGAACCTATAGACAACATTAAGTGAGGACTTATGTAGCACAGCGCCTGGCACATGATAAGCGCTCGGTAAATGAAGGCCAGCTTCTTAGCCTTCTCTGCTCTCTTGCCACAGGACCGCCTGGCCCGGTGTACCATGCATTGCAATGACAAAGCCAAAGATTCAATAGATGCCGGGAGTAAAGAGCTTCAGGTGAAGCGGCAGCTGGAGACTTGTGTGACCAAGTGTGTGGATGACCACATGAACCTCATTCCAAGCATGACCAAGAAGATGAAGGAGTCTCTCTCATCTATTCAGAAATAGAAGTCTTTGCCATTGGCCATCGGGGCTGAGGGCAGGAGTCTATTTAAAAAGAAGGATGAGAATTTTGGTCTTTTAAACAATTTATGAATGAAGAAATTAAGGATGGCAGCAAGTTTAAGGCATATATCACCTGCCTCTGGACACTGGTTCCTATATGTTTTAATCCTAGAAAATGAAATGGAAAAAAACTGGTGCTAAAATTTGGGTCAGAGAGTTTTGAGAGCCGAAATTTCTTGTGGCAAGTGCTTATCCTAGCAGTAGGCATCTCCCTCATACCAAACCAGAGCACTCCGAGGTACCAGATTCTTCTTAGTACCCAGGTACCAAGAGGTTGACATGTTTCTCTAACCTGCCAATGATCTGGTAGAGTATGAGGAGAGGTGTTTCTGTTCGTTGCCGACCTGTTTACGAGAAACATCACCACACCATTTTCCATAAGCTGTAAAACAAAATCCATCAGGTCACTAAGAAAGGGAAAAAAATTTTCTGAGTCTTTTGTTTTGCTTGATTTTGTTTTATATACAAGAACATGAAGTTGATTTAAGATGCGGAGTTGGGAGAGGTAGTTTGGATAAGACCTTTGAGAGGTTCCTTTGGATATCTCTTTCTGGCCATCAAGATGTGGATGTTCATTTCTTAAAATTCTCACATATCTTTCAGCCTGGAGACCCTCTAAAAACATGAGAGGTGATGTCACACTGGGTATGGGAAGCAGACCTCCCCTCTCACTGGCTGCCATGATGGGCCTAAGGCTGTCTGCAGCAAAGTGATAGGACAATCTCGCAGTGACCCTCTCCCTTGAAGAGAAAGAGGGTTTTGATTGTGCTGTATCTAGGTATCCAGGAATGAACAGTGAAAGAGGAACTTTTCACTGTTGGCTGCTTAATTAAGAGTTTGAAAGTACCAGATCTGGAAAAAAACTAGTTTTCAGGAATGAAACCTAAAACCCATTGTTGCTTACTTAGTCCCCTGAAATAAGAGCCTTACTGAGACAATTCCTTGGTAACAGGAAGGTCAAGGGGAAAAAAGTAAGTAACTCAGGTGTGAGCTGTTGCTCTTTTAGGGCAAAAGTGAGGCAGCCCCCATTACCAAATACTACTTTTGCCTGGGGCCTTTGCAGAATGCAATGTTCCTGCCCCAGCTCTGGCACCTTACCGTTTTGATAAGGACTTTGTTGTCTTTTTACCACCTTATTACTTGAAATGATAATATAATCTGTCTGTTTGCTGTTTCAGGCATGTGATATATTTTCCTAGTGGTCTGGTTTTAAAAAATAAAGTTTAATTTTTTTTTCTCCACTATTGTGTTTCTTTCCGTATATCTGGGCAGTGGATATATAACTTCCTAAGGATGTCTTTCTTTGTCATGTGTGAAGTAAGTCTCTTAAGAGGTTCAGAAAAGTGAAAATTATGTGTTATGGTTTGGATGCATGCACGACTTGTTCATTGTAATTAAACTGAGGGCAGGCTAGAGCACTATTACTTGAAGTCCATTAATGTAAAATAAACTATAAGGCTTAAAAAAATGCAGTATCGTCAGCTTTCTAGCTTCAAATAAACACAGCAAGAAGAGGAAAAGATCAGTTATGACCACTCGAGAATATGCAATGCCTGGGATTTTGAGTACCAAGAGAGTACAAAATATATGAGGAGCTTAGCTAAATCTTTGCTATCATTGATATTTAAATAGAGCCATTCCTGAACATTAGGAATGAATTGAATTTTGGAACACTATCCCCTACTTAGAATCACCAGGGCTTTTCTATTTTGGCCCAAGTCTTCTATAATCTCTATTGTATTAGATTCATAAATGTGGATTCGCCTATTTTGGGTCACAACTGGGAACAAGTCGGAGACCACTTTTTACACTTACGCTCTTGACTTGAAAATCAGTACCTCTTATCAGAGATCATTTGTGTGCTGCACTTCACGTTTTATGTATGGGGTCAAAGAACATTTGGTGGGGTTCTGAAGGCAATGTTAAAAGAATTGCGAGACCGTAAGTCTGGAATATACTTCCGGGCTCTAGATTCACATTCTTGGAAACTGAGGCCCAGGCACCCTACTCTTTGGTGCAGAGGTCACTAATTGAGATGTTAATGCAGCCCTAGGTTAGCGTGACAATATGCTGTGGGACTATATTCCAAAGAAAAAAAGGGCCCACTCCTCCAGAGCTTATTTTCATTTATTATACATGAAAAAGACAAACGATGTGATCTACTAAAATTAGGGATTGACAGCCATCGCAGAGAAGCTAGTCAGACATTTAACTCAATTTCACAGAAGGGAACATGCAATTAAGAAGAACGCCTAGAGGCCCCACCCTCTGTTCTGGCCAATCGCTGGCGACGCAACCGGAAGCTTGGGGCTGATCGACGCGCTCTGGCTTCCTCTAAGTATCGCGAGGTGAAATAAGAAAGCTGCCGACAACCGATTGGCTAACGGGATCAGAGACGTCAGACGCAAAACGCCGAGTCTACCGCGGGAGCGTGAGCGAGGCCAGGTATTCCGTTTGGAGGCATCTTTGAGCTCTCTGAGTAGGCACCATGAGCAAGGCTCACCCTCCCGAGTTGAAAAAGTAAGTATGTGCGAAGGCCACGCGCGATTAGCAGCTTCTTTGTATGCCTCGAGTTCCGTAGGTCCCGTAGATCCGCCTCAGTTTCCGCGCGCCTGGCATGCGTATTCCGGTCAGAGGCCCCGGAGATCCCAGGCGGAGTCTCGCGCTTGCGTGCCTGAAGCCCGCGCAGAGATCGCATTTCTGCTTGGTCGGCATGGTTACCAAAGGCATCCAAGGCGCCTCTGTTCCGCAGATTTGTTCTGGCTGGAGCTTTCGGCCCTACGTCTCCCCCTAGTTACTTGAAGATCTCGGATGCCACCCTTTGTTGACCAACTTAAATTGCATCTTGTTTTAGATCAGGAGGCTGGGGAGTAATTCTATAAGAAACTAAGGATATGGATAAAATCGAATTGTATGATAGTATATGAGAAATCAAAAGCCACTTTAACCTTAAGAATGTTTGTAGCTGTTTCTTTGAACTTTAACTTAGAAATCCCATTCTTTTTTCTTGCTTTCCTGTACTTGAATGTCGCATGGTAGCTTTGCTCTGTCAACAGAGCTGTGTGAGAACATTCATTTTTTTCCTAATCAAGAAGGTTGGGGGGGGTTTCCCTGCACCCAATAAAATCAACTCGAAGTAGGATATTTCTACTTTAGAAAGGGCCCAATATGTTCCATGTCTCCTAAGTACGTGCTTCTTTATCTTGTTTATACCATGTAATGCAGGAATTCTGCGAGTAGTAGTTGGATAGCACAAAGGATACAAAATTCCCGGGAATCAACTTGTGAGTCATTCATTTGGTCGGCCTTGCCTATAGTTAATTTATTACCAGCCCCGTAAAGAAGTCAGATTGAAGGAAAAGTTCATACTTAATAATTTTGCATTTAAGTACACATTTGTATCAAAGCCATCTTTTATGCAAAAACTATATTTTAGTTGGATCTGTTAAAGCCTTAGTTATTAAATTATAATTCTAACATTAAGAAAAATAGAAATTGTTTTCGTGAAAATGCTTATATGAAAGTTATGCTTTTAGTGGTGCGCCCGTAAAATCTTGTAAGTATCCTCTGGGTTGCTCAGGAACTAGTGAAATGTTAATTATTTTCTAATAAAAGGACCATTCGCTACTTGTAATCTTAGATTTCCTTTTTGATTCTTAATAGATAATATTTGAGAATTTCAGAGGATGAAACTAGTTTTAACCTTTCTTTCTCATCTCTAGATTTTATGTGAGATCCTGTCAGATTTACCTCTCAAATCACTTTCAAATTTTTCTTCCTTAACTTTCTCACAAATACCTTCTTCTTTTATACTTCTCCTGGTTTAGCATAACTCAGTGGTTCTTAAATGGGGGGTAGGGAGTCTGATTCTACCGGCATCTAGTGGATAGAGGCCAGGAAAGCTGCTAAACATTCTACAATGCACTGGACATTCCTCAACAACAAATTATCTGGCCCCAAATGTCAATATGCTGAGGTTGAGATACCCTGGCTTAACCAAATTCCCCCTCCTACCACTAAAAAATCGCTGCTACAGTCTTTTGGCCAATGACTGACTGCTTTAATAACTTATCACTCTGCGTAATAAAATCCAGACTTCTTGACCCAGCACTCAAGTTCCTTTGTGTGAAATCCAAGCATCAGATATTACACACTAATAATTGAGTACCCTGTTCTCCAGCCAATAGAACCATTTGTGTTTGCTCAGACTTTCTCACTTGCCGTATGACTTTGGACAATTCACTTAACCTTTCTGAGCCTCAGTTTCTCATCTATAAAATGGTGGTAATACTAGTACATAACTTACAAAGTTGTAAGGATTAATTAAGCTCACGTGTATTATATTGGGTATGTTTTATATACTCTATTAAAATAGATCATTTTATACATCATACTATATCTTTTTATTTGTGAAGAATCTTGTTGCACCTTCTGTCGGGCCCCATGTCTTATTTATTTTTGGATTCTCCCATGCTATCTTATGCATTAAAATTGAGTGAAATTTCCTATTTTCTAGATTTGCCTACACAGCTTAATAGTTTTCATATTACCCTGCTGACATGAGATTGTCTTGTTTCATTCAAATTGTTATACTTAATTGTTGAAGAATAATGCTTAATTTTGAATAAAACACTGCTTATTGTCCAAATATAAAGTAGCTATTGGATTGGACAAGTTTGATTACAACTTCTAGTTTCTTCACAATTTGGTTTGGGAAATAACCAAAATGTAATTAAATCTTTGTTTTTTGTTATGGCTATAAAATTCAGCCATTGAAAATTAGGTTAATATTGAACAATGTTTTTTAAGTCACATCAGTATACACTCTGTGTCCATTAATATATTACAAACCCGTTCCATTTTTATTGATTATCTTGTCCCTTCCCAAAATACATTGCTTTGTATAAGTACTAACTGAGGTGGACCATCATTCCCTCATCCTTTACAGCAGTACAAGATTTTTACTATTAAATTTCATTATTCCTATTGTGCAAATTTTAGCAAATTGTATTGTCTAGGAAATTATTATAAAATTGAGTATATACCTACTTTCGTGCTTATTTATGCTTAAGTTTTTTTAATCAGTTGTATAATCTTTATCCCTTTTGCTTTTTCAGATTTATGGACAAGAAGTTATCATGTAAGTTTTATTTAATCAGTTGCTTTTTACATGTATCTTGACAATATATAACATTTGGAGCAACTTTATAAAAATTCAGAGCACACAGAGTCTCTAATTCACAATCATTAATTAAGCAGGTTTATCAAAATCTTAACTAAACAGTTTTATTTACCTAGTATCTGCTATTTAATAAATTTTACAGTACTTCAGACTTTTCAATATTTCAATATTTTCAATATTTTCAATATTTCACATAAGCCCCGCCTCAACTGTCACAAAATTAACGGGATTTTCCTATTTCGTGATATTTGAAATTTTATCAACCTTTTTCCTTTAAACAAAGGACTTAGACAAGGACTAAAAATCTAACCCATTCAGTACTTGAAGTACATAGGGGTTAAGACTGTGGCTTTAGAGGTAAGCAGCCTTCGGTTTGAATCCTGACTCTGTCACACAGTAGTTCTATAACCTTGAATCAGTTACTTAAAAGCTTTATACTTCAGTTCCCTCATAAAAAGGTGGGATGATTCTACTTTATAAGATTCTTATAAGTTTAAACATGGAGGTAATGTGGAATGTTTAACCTAGTTGGCATATAGTAAGGATAGTGGATTGTACATCTCAAATACCTGGGTTTTACCCCACCTAATTTTTAATGAATATTTGATAGATAATGGTCAGTTTTATTAAAACTTTGTTCCATTTTTTTAGTGAAATTAAATGGTGGCAGACATGTTCAAGGAATATTGCGGGGATTTGATCCCTTTATGAATCTTGTGATAGATGAATGTGTGGAGATGGCAACTAGTGGGCAACAGAACAATATTGGAATGGTGGTAAGTAAAGATGTAAGATTTCTCTCCGATTTTATTTTTCATTTGGAATAAGCATTAACATTCCTTCTATCAAAGACTTGGATTAAACTGAAGTTAGACAGGTTACAAGCAAGATTAGACTTTCCATCTTCCTTTAACATTTGGCAGTCATCAACTGTGATAATATCCCAGTTACCTTAGGTTAGATCTGGATCTTATATAGAATTCTCTGAGGTCCTTGGTCTTGAAACACCTTTTGGAAATCATTTTGAGCTTTATCCTATAATAGAAGCCGTAGTCAGTCTTCATTAGAGCAGTAGTTCTCCATCTTAGTTGCATCTGAAAATCAGTCTGAGATGTAGCATATGGAGGTTTTTTAAGTCCCCCAGGTGATTCTAATGTAAAGCAAAGACTAACTACTGGTCTAAACCATTTACAGTCACCTAAAGAGTTTTCAAAAAAAAAAAATTCCTGGATACCACCCCAAAGCTATTGAAACTATCTCTAGTGGTGCTGTCTTTTTTTGTTAAAAGATTTGGGTGGTTTTATGTGTAGTGAAGATTAAGAACATGCTTATGAATTCTCAGATGATCTTGTTAAAATGTAGATCCTAATTCAATAGCTGTGGGGTGGAACCTGAGATTTTGCATTTCTAAGAAGTGCCCTTTTTTTTTTTTTGCAGATCTGCCAGTCCACAGATCACACTTTTTATTTTTAACTGTGGATGTAATTAACCTAGATTTCTAATTTATCACACCCAAATTTAAAAGTGGTCAAAGTAAGTTATAAGGGATGGTAATGCTAACAGCCATTCACAGTGGAAGAAAACAAATACTAAGTTCTTAATTATAGGAGCAAACATTTTTACATTTATTAGACCATAATAATATGACTGCTGAAGAAGAGTTTTTGAGGTTTGTCAACAAGAGCCAGACTTTGAATCTCTCTCCTTGCCCAGCACAGAACAATATACCCAGTAAGTGGGAAGTCTAAGTTTCTTGGGAAAGGTAAATCAAAAATGACAACTTAGCTTCAGCAAATCATAGAGCCTAAAGACCTCTAAGAGATTGTGAGAGTTCCTAATTGTTAGCGTTGATAATTTTTTTTGGCCTTATTTGTTTGAGCAGTAGAGGGGTGTAATTATTTTTTATCACTGGTCCTAAGATTTGTGTTATTGTTTATTTCAAATGTGTTACCATTAATGCATTTTGAAAAGCAAATCCATGGTCAAGACTAGAAAAAACGGCTTATAGTCTCTTATAAGACTGACCCTTCCTCCCTCACCCCCCGCCAAGTTTCATATAAATCAACCTTCTTTTCGGGTACATTCTCCTTGAGCGTCTGTTGAAAATTAATAAAACTATGACCAAATCATTAACAGCCAGTTTCTTTAAAAAAAAAAAAAAAACCAGTTTTCAAATACCCTAAGTTTTCCTTTTACAAATTAGAAAATCTTTGTTCTAATAGAGGGTAGATTAGGTTTTTAGTTTATATATATCAACAGATTTGCTAAAGGATTCAAGAAGGACTTGTCATCTATAAGTCAATTCCAATTTGGGAAGATGACTTTTTAGAGAATTATGTGACATTTCTCAGAATTTTATCGGAGAGAGGATTGAGCCTAGATCATAGATCTTTCAGTTTTCACCATAAATTTTGATGGGGAAATTTACACAGAAATTGGTTAAAAGCAGTGCCCTCCCAAGTCATTCAAATAACAAGCACCTACTTAATATTAGGCAGTCTGCTATTCCACTTCTGATGCTTCTCATGTGACCAAAAAAGTTTGTATTAGAAGGCACTGATTCTTGCAACTGAGTTAAACACTTCAAAAATAAAATAATAATAATGTATCAATTGTCTTTAAAAAGTCCAAAAAAATGTAAGAACGGCTTTTCTGAGCTTAAAAGAAGGGACACAAACAGGTTACGGTTTTGTTTTTCACAGATTGTTTGGCAAAGGAGACCATTACATTGGCTTCATTATTCCCTTGTCCAAGTTAGTGACCCATGGCAGACATTGAAATTACTTAATACTATTATACTAAGAATGTGTGTTCTAAGGGGGAGGTGATTTGTTTTAGGATTCTGTCAGCTGGATAGTCACCTAATGATGTGACATCCCCAGAGTTGTCAGTGGCCTCACCCCTGGCTTATTTCCTTAAGGTTCCACTCCACTCCAGGGTTCTTCTAAGAATATAGTAAAAATCCTGTTTTATTATGCTACCTAGTTCAGGAGTTCTTACTAGCTTTGTGCTTCTGTAGCTCCGTTTTAGGTTTGTATGCTTTGTTAGACAACTGTGCCCTTTCAAGAGGCTGAAAGCCTGAGTAACACTTTGCAAAAACTAGTATTGAAGCACGAAACAAGGAGCAAATTGGAATTCTGGACCCAGTGGTTCCAGTTTGATTTGGAGAACGGAGCCTCAAACATAAGGCAAAGGTGTTCACCAACTAGCTTTACTTTCTATATATTATGTAAGAAGATAAATTGTGATACCAATTTAACCCCTCAGATCTGAAAATCTTAATTATCTGAAACAACTTCTCTCCACCTACAGAAAAGGTGTCAGAAATTGAAAATTTTAGGAGGGAGCTAGGAAAGAAGGCTAGTTTTTCGTGCTTTGATCAGTGAGATGTGATATTCATCATCTATTGCAAATAAGCTAGGAACTTAAAACTAAGAATTAGATAAGCATGTTTTTTACCTTTCTTCATTTCTGTTCCTAACTTATAAAACGAGTACGAGTATGTAGGCTCCTTCAGTCCCCACTGTCATTTTGAGAGCATTGTTCTTTTTTAATACCGCTCTAATTCTTTGCCACCCTCTCACCATACTCATTGCTGTTAGTCTCTGCCAGGCTCCAAGACACACTCCCTGTCATGTTCCTTTCCAGTCTTTCAGCTGCAGTAATTCACTCGTTTATTTAATAGGTACTTATTAAGCCTTCTTTGCGCCTGTCACTACTTTAGGCACTGGGGATATTGCCACAAGCAAAGTCCTTGCCCTCATAGAAATGACATTTGAGTGAGGAAGACAGTAAATAGTGTATGTGATAAATGAAGCAAGCAGAATTGAAGGAGAAAAGAACAGGTTATAGCTGTTTTTATTCCAGCTGCAAGGAGCCTAGCTTTACTTGGAATGTTATTCAGAATGTCTCTCATTTCTAATAGATGTTACATTTCCACTCAGCCCCCTCCTGTCCTTTCACCTTACCCAGCTCTACTTGACCGATGTGTTATTGCATTGTAACCTACAGTTCATCAGGATTCTTATATTCACAGACCCTTGCCTTCAAGTTTGACTTATTTTTCTATCCCTTTCAAACTCATACCAGCCATTTCACCTGTGCTTATAAGTATCGTGGCTTATCTTCATTTATGGATTGGCTGCTGTGTCAAAGACACTGTTCTCCTAGGGCCTTTTCTTTATAACATCTCTTCCTGCTTTTAAGCTCTCTCCCATTCTCTTATACAGTTAACCCTTGAACAACATGGGTTTGAGCTGCGCAGACCCACCCATACACAGATTTTGTCAATACAGTATTCCTAGGTTTCACATCTATGGATTCAACCAACCGCAGATCAAAAACAGTATTTTCAATCCACACTTGGGAATCTACAGATGCAGAGGGCCAACTGTATGCATTGTTCTCTGCCATATTATATAAGGGACTTGAGCGTCAGTGGATTTTGTTATCCTCAGTGGGTCCTGGAACCATTCATCTTCAAGGGACAACTGGGAAGTCAAAAGCTATAAACAGATTTTTGACTGCAGAGGGTTCGGTGCCCTTAATCCCATATTATTTGAGGCTCAATTGTATATGTTATTGCTGAAACAGTGGTCATTCCCCCAGTGGAAACTTTTCACTGGCCCATTCATTGTTGGTTTCATGATGTCCTCCACACACTTTTAAGATTGGTTTTTGAGGTGTTCTGAAATTGGATGTAAATTGTTTTCAACTTCCTTGCATAACCTTTCACTGCTTCCAAATTAGATTCTTTCCTTATCTCCCAGGTAAGAGATAGTTTCCTATCTTCCTATCAAAATTCTGCGTAATTTTCAAAACTCAGCTAAAATGCCATCTTAATAAAGCCTGCTTTTCCCAACTTCCAGCCTGCTTTATTCTCAAAATGCTTTTTTTTTTTTTTTTTTCGCAAGGGAACCATTGGTTGACCTCACAGATTGCAAGGACCTTGTCATCTTACAATTCCTTATTTTTTACTTTTTTATGCCTATAACACCTGGTCTTCCAAGGTGGTCTCCCATCCAAGTACTAACCAGGCCCAACCCTGCTTAGCTTCCAAGATCAGATGAGATCGGGCTTGTTCAGGGTGGCATGGCTGTAGCCTCTAATGATCTTATACCCCAGAACTGACATTCTGTTTTACTTATTTTTGCCATTAATTTATGGATCCCTTAAGGGCCGAGAGTCCTGCCTTTTAGAAGGTGAAGTGAGTCGTTGGAGACTTGGTATCTCAAGTAGTAATGTAGAAAATGTGCATCTCATTAAAAAGAGCTTTATGTAATGATTTAAAGACTTGAGTTATTTGATATTCCTATGGCTTAAAAAAAATTTTAAAAGCCCCACAAACTAACATTTAATAAGGAAAAACCGTTACTGATTTGGTAAAAATTCTTTAATAATAATTGATATGAGTGTTAAATAAATTGTTCTTTTCAGATTTACTTTTCTCTTTCTTAGGTAATACGAGGAAATAGTATCATCATGTTAGAAGCCTTGGAACGAGTATAAAGAATGGGGGTGTTCACCAGAGAAATCACCTGCTTCCACATGTCCCCTACTCCACAGCACCTGTTATACAATATAAAAATTGGGTCGTGTACATTTTCATATTGAACTTCTTTGTTAAATAAACTTTTTTAATAGTCAAAAATGCTTTTCCAGATGTTCTGAACTCGAAAATAGGATATCCTAATTTTTTCTTACATGAACTATCCCTGGTTAAGACTGGTTTTTTTCAAAGGTTTTTATGCATATAGAAAGAATCTGAAGAATCTTATAGAAGAATGTGATTAAATGTGAAACATTTAATATAGAAGAATCTGATTAAATGTGAAACATGGCAAGAATGTCTTTTTCCCATCTCTTTACACTAAACAGAGATACAGAACCTGCAAACCCGAGTGGGTTTCTTCTGAAATAACAAAACTCTTAAATTTCAAAACTCTTAGGGTAACTTTGATATACTCTGGCTTTTTCAAGTACATCTACATTCCAAGTATAGTACAACAAAAGTAAAACAGGAATTAATGATGTAGTTGTTTATTTCGAACATAAGTGGGAAAAAATTTTTAATACAAGAGTAGAAATAGAATTCCAGAGAAAAACATTCCAGTGTATTGTTCTTTGTAAAGTATAGAGAGTAATGATGATGCTGCCATAATACATTCATCTAGTTCATACATTTGAGGGCACACCAACTGATGAAAGCTATATTACATACAGATGGTTGTATCATAAGCCTAACCTTAAGAAACCTACCAAGTAAATGACTAGACCTGTTCTTTTTGTGATCTGGTAAAAATACTACAAATCTTGAGTCACTTTAAAACTGCAGAGAATGGGGTATACAGTGAGCACACCTGATGTAGCTCTAAAATAATATTTCCTATTTACAGCAAAAGAACAGCTAGAGGGTTCAAACCAACCTAATCACAATAAGGAGAGCTGGTGTGAAGTCCAACATTTTTATTCTAACATTCTTCTCCAGTAGCTCTTTTTAAATCTTCATTGAAGCTGACAGGCTTTCAATTTTTCAACCACTTAGAGCTGAATTACAGAACTAGTTCTCTTTTAAGTGTGGTTCCTAGACCAGGAACATCACCTAGGAACTTAACAGAAATGCAAATTTTTGTATGCCACCCCAAACCCTATTAAAACACATTCTGGGGGTAAGCCCAGAAATGTTTTAACAAGCCCACCGGGTAAGTCTGATGCATACCTAAGTCGGAGAACCACTAGAGTGGAGCTGGCTTTCATTCAGCCCTTTACCATTCTCTTCTGTAAAAGGATGAGTGGTCTTCTGGAGTAACAAGCTCTGATAGTATTTTTTGTCCAATAAAAAATACATATATCCTTTAATACCATGATTGCATTAAAACAAATATGCTTGACATATATCCCATTGCAAAACAAGTTCTAAGTTAACTATTAGTATTTACCAGTCTAGCATATACATAGCACAGTATATTACATTCTCCGCATACTGTCCATTAAAACCACAAAAGGAAAAGAAAATTGCCTCAACATTCTTTTTAAAAATAAAATTAGAAAAAAAAACCTTTGACAAATTTTTTTAACAGTACATGTTAACTTTGTTGCTGTTACTGTTGAATTCACAAGCTTTTATGTGTTCTGTCCTAACAGTGACTATAAGGACAGTCATTAATGATCTTAATACAGTAGATGTAGAACTGATTCTCAAGCTTGGCTGCATATTAGAATCATTTGGGAAGCTTTAAAGTCCAACAGAAGATTCCAATGTGCAGCCAAGGTTGAGAACTTAACGCATTAAAAGATTTCAGGAACCAATTTCTCACCCAAAATGGTACCAGTAGCTTTAGAAGCATTTAACAGTTTGGACATATGCTGGATTTGATCAAGCATGGTGTCATTACGAGTATCTTACTTGTGTCAACTCTGGAGTAATCCAAGTTACCTCTGCTGTTAGGCTGTCAATGCTGCTTACTATCAAGGTTACCACTAGAGTTCTGAGAAATTCTTCACAAAATCCATCTGCTTTGATAATGAATTGGATTTCTTGGGACTTTGAAGGCACTGAAAAACCCTTTGGAAACATATTAGACTCTCCAAGTCAGTGATTCTCGACCCAGGCTGCACATCAGGAACTTTTAACAAGCTACAATGCGGAGGTCCTATCCTCAGTCCATTAAATAATCTATAGGGTATATCAGTATTTTCTAAATACGTGGGTGAGGATTCGATAATTGAATGCCAATTTCTTCAATGAGCCTATATTTGCTTTTCATTTTACTAGAGACTTTTGTAAGACATCTTAAAGTTATACTACTAAGACTTACAAATTTCACCCTTAAAAAATGAGACAGAAGAAATCAAAAAAACATTCTGAAAGTCAAGGCTTCGGTGAGGCATTTACTTTGAAAAAGAGTATAAATTACTAAAGCCAGGCATAAGATACCAACTCCTACAGCAGTTTTAACTATCTGACTCAAGATCACATCCAGCTGTGAAGTACAAATAAACTAGTCCCCAACTAAAACGTGTCTTAAGTTCTAATTCAAGTGTTCAGCTTCAAATGTTCTAAGATTTTATTCAAAATCCAGGGCCTCATCTCCAGACCTACTGAATCAATCTCCAGAAGAGCTAGAGAATTTTATATGTTTATCAAACCTCAAATGATTCTTACGATCAAACAAGTTTGGGAAACACTGCTGATGGGTATTAAAAGAAGAGTTAAGAAATTTTGGAGATGGGATAAGTGCAGTAGTTACACTTTCACGCTTATGAGATCCTTATATTTTCTCATGACACTAGAATTACTCATGTTAAACAATAATGGCAAAATATGTGATTTGAAAACATCTCTGCTCAGATTGTGTTCTTTTTTGCCAGTGATATTCCACTGGGAACCAAGAGGGGGGAAAAGTGAAAGTGTTATTATTTCATAGTTCAGTTTTAAGTTTCTCATATAAATCCTCTTGGTCAATCATATCTGTATGTCCATTCCAGCGGTGATAGGCAAGGAGAGCGGCATTGTGGGCTGCAATGGCACTCATCTCCATGGCACTTGCTGCACACTCTATGCCACTGAGGTAATAAAGTCGATCGTGAAGTATGATAGAGGGGCATTTCTCTGGAGGCTTATAGTGAGGATATGCAAGCCACTGCTGCTTCACAGCATAATCATAGGACAAAAAGAGCTTTAAAATTTGTTCTTTAGTAAGAGTTTCTTGGGAAAAGATCTTCCAAACATATGCCCCATCTTCTGATGGTTGAGGATTATTTTCTCTTACAGAGGACACAATCCGAATGCTGTTAATGAACAAATCTGAATTATCAGTGGTTAAGATTGTACTGAGATCAAATTTACCTAAGGCTCTGGAGCTAAAAATAGTGGAATTCAAGTTCCCCTTAATTAAAGTTGTCACAATATATTGGTAGTATTGATGGAATTCCTCAATTGGAGGATCAAAGTTGAGAAAAGTTATATTGGACATTTTTCGATTCAATGGAGTGGCCACCACGATGATGTCATAAAAGTCTGAATGGGTCTCAGATCCAGTTTGGTAGGCCACTTCGTACATCTTTGCGGGGGTTCCTAGAGGAAATAAGGACACATACATTTCTTTAGTGTTTCTATATTTTATACCTTCTAAAAATAATTCTATGCCTTCTTAAGAGTTTATCATTCTAAGGAATTAAAGGAATTTATCCATTAAGATAACTGTCCATAATTGAGGCCAATTTCCTACTTGAAATGGAAATAATACCTTGTCATTAAGAACAAAATATGGAATTTTTGCTTTTGAAGATGAGATTATTTTTTAAATCCAAGGAGTCATGCCACTGTACTTAAGCACATTTGGGAATATTTCTACATGGCACAACATATACAATGTTAAATCCTATCATTTGGAACTGAGAGAGATGGCGGAGGAGAAGTTTTTCTCCCTGAGCAATTATTTTCTACAGGGGAAATTAGGAACAATAAAATAGAAGTTCAAGTTTACCTGTCTGCTTGGTCCGTGTTTTCTCCTCTATGTACATTACTGAGCCAGATATAAGGTTGCCTTTGGAAGCCTGAAGGAGCCCTGAGCAAATAAGTTTATTGCCACCTTTTACTGCCCAAAGGCCAGAATCAGCACCAGCTAGTGACACTGCCCCTGTAGGTGGTAGGAAAAAAATGTGTTTTAATTCCGACTCTGTAAGAGGCCTGCCACCCACTCTCCCTTCCTAATTAGGTGAGTTCTGCTCCAAATGTCTCCACATATTGCCAAATGTCCCCTGGGGACAAAATCTCCCCCAGTAGAGAACCATTCAACTAATGAAAGCTAAGGACTCTCCCCATAAAAATGCACCTCTACATTTACACAATTTTGCCAACAATGTCAGGTTTCACAGAGAAAGGTAGTCTTTTCCAACTCATGGCCTACAGTCAGAAGACACCATACATAACATCAGGTAAGCCCCTCTCTGAACTAATGCCCAGAATGGATCCAAGTCTTGGCTTACCCACAAAACCATTGATGTTTGTGCTTTGGCCATAATTGACCCTCATGACAGGAGCAACAATTTCATCGAGGAATTTCTCAGAGAAGCCTGCTTTCTGCAAGGTTTCACGAAGTGTTCGGTTAAGCATTCCAAGGAAGTCGTCCCCTCCTAGAGAATGCAGTAAATTTTCTACAGTACTGAAGGCATAATCATGAGACTGGTAGCGGTAGATCCTTTTGAAAAGAAAAATGGCCATTAAACACCAAATGAGATAGCTGGAAGGGGATGCATAAAGAAGTGAAATAGCATCATTAAGACTCAAACTGACTTTCATGTTTCCTTCTAATTAGTTCCTACCTATCATGTGAGACACACTTCAGTCACCATCTTCCCCAGGTATCCCAGAAGCTCTTGGCCCTCCCTCTCTCTCTGTCTCCTCTGGAAGTCCACTGTCCTTTGCATACAGTCTTCTGCATTTATATGGTCACTGGGAGTACCTTTAAAGAAGTGGGTACATCTTGTTCTCATTTATCTTTTTATCTTAAGACATGTCTAAAATTAAACTTCATCTTTCCACCAGGCTTGATCTTCTCCATTCACCCCCCTATCCCAACCAAAAATAACAGGTCACTCCTAATATCCTACATGTCATCCTCAGTTCATTTAGTTTCAAACTTAAACATTTTCACTTCTGCTTTCTGCCTCTCCCACCCATGAAGGAAATCTTATCAATCTTTCTAACCTCTCCAGTTACTTCATTCTCATTTCCCTGATCTTGAGTCAGGATTTATATTCAAACTAATAAAATGAATAATCTAACTGCTTCTAGATGTTCAATGACTCTCCCAAAGCCCTAAAGTATCTTTTATTTTGTCATCCAGTCACTTACTCAAAGACCATCTTGCTTACTGCTTACTAAATAAAGTCCTGACATTTTTTTAAAAATCATAAATTTTAGAGCCAAACTCATCAATTCTAACTCCTTTGCTCTAACTGCAGGCAAAGAAACTAAGTAGAAATACTCAAAGAAGTCTAAAAGTCACATGGAAAGTCAAAGGCTCAAGCACAACTAGCCCTCTCTGCCCTCAACCCTACGCCTCCTGCACGCGTGTGTGCACACACACACACTCATCCCCTCCACTTGAGCAACCTGACCCATTCACTGGTCTCTAAATATGCTCTCCATATTGCTCACCAACACTGCATTAGATCTCCCCTCTAACTGGAATACACTTCCCATTCTGAACCACAGAACAGCTACACTTCCTTTACAGCCTGAATCCTACCCCCTCTGCAAAGTCTTGCCCAACTTTTCAGTCCACAGTGATGTCATCATCTCCAAAAGTCCCACGAAACCGCAGACGTGCCACTCATTCAGCACTTAGATATTACTTTGTAGTATTATTTTTAGGAAATAGCACCTGACATTTTCCTTCACTTTATGGACCTAAAAGAACATCCACATAAATTAGTTCATGTAGTAATACATAATTTTTCAGACTGCAAGTGATACAGAAATGAGAAAAGTATTGTTCCTTTCCCTCAAGAAGCTTACAGTTAGGGACAGGTAAAAAGGTATATGCACAGACAAGCATATGAAAAAGGGAAGAAATAAGTGCTAAGGAAAGATCTCTATTAGTGATCACTTCTACATCAACTTTCTTCTCCAAAATAAACTGTAAATTTTTACAGAGCAAGGGATAATGTCATATCCATTTCAATATTACCTACTGTCTTACCAGCGTAGTATACAAAATATTAAATAAATTTTTGTGGGGAAAACTGATACCAGTGCCAAAACTGAAAAACTAAAATAACTCTTTCCAACGTATTTGGATTCTAATTCATAGGAAGTTGGGAAAAACAGTATGAAAACACCGAATTCTTTAGAAAAATAAAAGACTGAGTATCTCATAAAATGAAGAGTGGATAATGAAGAGTGACTGTTGGCTAATAGCATGACAAAATAGTAGTCAATTAAATAACTTAAATAAATCATAAAAAAAATTATTTCCCACCTTCTCCCACCTGAGCCCAAACCCCACTCAAGTAAGCCTCCTTAAGTAAAGGCCTCCTAGAGGGTGACATGAGACAACATACACCATATAAACACTGAACATTGTAACTGTTTTACAATACTAGTTGCATTAGAATATATATTTACTAAAAAATTAGACATGTAACTAGTAATTTCTGCTAATCAGCTTATACAGCTTTTTTCTTTTTAAACTACTATTGTATAACTCTTAACATTTACTCATTCATTTATTCATTCCATAAGTAATTATGGAGCATCAACTTTGAGCCAGGCACTGTTCTAGGTGCTGAGGATAGAATCAACATAACAAAGAGAAAAAAAATCCCTGTCCCAGTGGAGCTTGTGTTCTAGTTGGGAAATAGGTATAAAAATAAATAAATAAACATGAATAAATTATATAACAGGTTAGAGGACAATAAGTATTAAAAAGAAAAGTAAATCAAAAAGACAGATTAGGAATGCTTGGAGCTGGCAGGGCTGCAACTCTAAATCAGATGGCCCAAAAAAATGAGTAGTAAAGGAAAGCCTCACTGAGAATGTGACATCTAAGCAAAAACCTGAAGGAGGTAAGGATGCACGCCTTGCAGTATCCGGGGAAGGTGAATAAGTTCTGGAGATCTAATGCACAGCACAGTAATTATAACCAACGATACCGTCTTTTATACTTCAAAGTTGCTAAGAGACTAGATCTTAAATGCTCGCACCAAATAAACATGACATGACAGAGGGGTTAACTAGCTGTGGTGGTAATCACATTGCAATATATAAATGTATCAAATCAACATGCTATATACCTTAAATTTATATATCTAAATAATGTTATATGTCAATTATATCTCAATTTATTTTAAAAATGTTCTATATACTAATAATGAACAATATGAAAAGGAAATTAAGAAAATCCCATTACAATAGCATCAAAAAGAATAAAACATTTAGGAATAAACTTAGGTAACCAAGGAGACAAAAAGACCTGAACACTGAAAACTACAAAACGTTGCTGAAAGCCATTAAAGACATCCTGTGTTCATGGACTGAAAGACTTGATATTGTTAAAATGTCCGTATTACCTTAAGTAATTTACAGATCAATGAAAGCCCTATCAAATTCTCAATGGCATTTTCTACAGAAACAGAAAAAAATCCTAAAATTCATATGAAATCTCAAAAGATCCCAAGTAGCCAAAACAATCTGAAGAGAGGGGAAAAAAAAAAAAAACGCTGGAGGCCTCACGCTTTCTGATTTCAAAGCATATTACAAAACTACAGTAATCAAAATAGTATAATATTAGCAAAATGACAGACATATAGACCAAGGGAACAAAATACAGAATGCAGAAATAAACTCACACATATATAGTCAAATATAATCTTTGACAAAGGTAACAAGCTAGGCAATGGGATGAAGGAGAGTGCTAGGAACCTGGATATCCACATGCAAAAAGACATAAACATAAGACCTGAAACTATAAAACTCCTAGTAGAAAACATTAGGGGAAAAGATTCATGACACTGGATTTGGCAGTGATTATCTGGATATTCCAAAAGTACAGGCAACAAAAGCAAAAACAGATAATTGAGACTACATCAAACTTTAAAACTTCTGTGCAGCAAACAATCAACAGAGTGAAAAGGCAACCTACGGAATGGGAGAAAATATGTGCAAACCTGGTAAGGGTTTAATATCCAAAATATATAAAGAATCCTACAACTCAACAACAACAATAAAATTCAATTAAAAAATAGGCAAAGAACTTGAATAGACATTTCTCCAAAGAAGATATACAAATGGTCAATGGGCATATGAAAAGATGCTCAGCATCACTAATCATTGGGGAAATGCAAATCAAAACCAAAGAGAATATCGCCTCACACCTTTTAGGATGGCCATTATCTAAAAAACAGAAAACAAGTGTCAATAAGGATGTGGAGAAATTGGAACTCTTGTGCATTGTTGGTGAAAATGTAAAATGGTGTAATTGTATGGAAAACAGTATAAAGATTCCTCAAAAAATTGAAAGTAGAATTACCATATGATCCAGCTATCCCACTTCTGGGTAACATATCCAAAAGAACTGAAAACAGGATCAAAGAGATATATGAAGATCCATATTTACTGCAATATTATTCGCAATAGTCAAGAGGTGGAAGTGACCTAAATGTCCATCAACAGATGAATAGATAAAACAAAAGAAACCAGTAATGGAGGACTAGAGAAATAAAAACACCATAAAACATATAAAATACAAATAGCAAAATAGCAGACATAAATCCTACCTTAACAGCAGACATAAATAGCAGACATAAATCCTACCTTATATTAAACATAAATGGACTAAACACCCCAATCATAAGGCAGACACTAACAGAATGGATTTTAAAACATGATCCACCTATATGCTATCGACAAGAAATACACATTAGATTCAAAGACACAAATAGACTGAAAGTAAAAAGATGGAAAAAGGTATACCATGCAAACAGTAACCAAGAGAGCTGGAGTGGCTACACTAATATCAGAGGAAATAGACTTTAAGACAAAAATTGTTACTAGAGACAAAGGAGGACATTTTATAATTATAAAAGGATTAGTTCATCAGTAAGACATAACAATTATAAACCTATATACATCTAACAACAGAGCTCCAAAATACATGAAACAAAACCGACAAAATTGAAGGGAGGAACACACAATTCAACAATAGTTGGAGACTCCAATATCCCACTTTCAACAAAGGGTAGGACAATATTAGTTCACTAGACTTCCCATAACAAAGTATCACAGACTAGGTGGCTTAAACAACAGAAATTTATTTCTCACAGTTCTGGAGGTTAGAAGTCCAAGATAATGGGACTGGCAGGTTTGGTTTCTTCTGAGGCCTGTCTCCTTGGCTTGTAGATGGCCACCTTCTCGCTGTGTCCTCACATGGTCTTTCTCTGTGCGTGCACATCCCTGGTGTCTCTTCTGTGTGTGTTCTAAACTCCTCTTCTTATATGAACACTAGTCAGATTAGATAGGGCCCACCCTAACGTATTCATTTTAAATTACTTACTTCATTAAAAAGCCCTATCTACAAATACGGTCACATTCTGAGATACAGCAAGTTAGGACTTCAACAAATGAATTTGAGGCAGACAAAATTCTGCCCATAAAACAGGAAATAAGTAAGGAATAGGATTATCTATGTCAGTTCTTCCAAGCCATAGTACAGATTTTGGCTATTACTCTGCATGAAATAGCTACTGAAAGTTTCTGAGCAGAGATGTAATGTGATGACTCTTAGCGTTAAAAAAAAAAAACCACACAAAAAAAAAACCACTTTGACTGCTATGCTGAAAACAAACTGTGGTGATACAAAAGCAAAAACATGGAGATGAGTTAGGAGGTATATTAGTTTTCTACTATTGCAGTAACAAATAACCACAGACTTAGAAGCTGAAAACGACACAAAATTAGTGTCTTATGATTCTGAAGGTTAGAAATCCAAAGTCAATCTCACTGAGCTAAAGTCAAGGTGTCCACAAGGCTGGTTCCTTCTGGAAGCTCTGAGGAAAAAAATCCATTCTTGATTTTTTCAGCTTCTATAAGCCACCTGCATTTCTTGGCTCATGGCCCATTCCCAGCATCACTCCAAGCTTCTGCTTCCATCATCACATCTCCTACTACTCACTCTGATCCTCCTTCCTCTCTCTTATAAGGACTCGTGTGGTTACACTGGGTCCATCTAAATTGAGAATAATCTCCCCATTTTAAGATAATCTGCAAAATCCCTTTTCCCATGGAAGGTAATACATTCACAGGTTTCAGGGATTAGGATGTAGACATCTTGCTAGGGGAGGGAGGCATTATTCAGCCTATTAGCAATCCAGAGAAGAGATAATAGTGGCTCAGATCAAAGTAGTACCAGTGGTGGTGGTGACAAGTGGTAGAATCCTGGATATATTTTAAAACTGATAGGATTCAAGATAGACTGGATTTGGGAAATGAGAAAAAGAAAAGAATTTTTAAAATGACTCAAAATATTTGTCAGAAATAACAAATTACAATATTTTTTGGAAGGAAAGGGGGGAGTTTATAAAGTCTTTGAGTCCTATAAGTCTCAGATCAATAAGTGTTAAGAATATGACAAGTCCCCAGAAATGAAATAAGTGTTAGAGACAAGAATAAGCATTAACCTAGCCTAGAAACCAAGACATCTCAACAAGAAATCATCAATGGACCAGAGGATTCAATTCAACAAACATCTGAGTGAATGTCTACTACATTCTAATTATGCATACTATAGAATACAAGCGTGTGTGTGTGGTGTGCATCACATAAAACTCAACAGATGTTTGAAAAAAGAGGCGAATGGTGACTAGAGTATCAGGAGAAGGCTTTGTAATTTCTAGTTTTGAGCATTTTTTTGTGCACAGTTCTTCTGGTTGAATGATATTCCTTCCTTACGGCATCCAACTGAATAAATAAATGCTCAGAACTGGAAATTAACCTGGCAAGTGTAAATATCAGGGGACTGTAGGATTTCTGCCCAAGGAAAAGTCCAGCAATATTCTCCACTTTAACAACTGACACATGCTGGCTCAATACCAGCCTTCTCTCCAACTATCTCATAGGATATAATAAAATTATCAAAATAAGATTTCTATGTTCTTAATTTATTGAAAGAAATAGAAATGTATGAAGCATGGCCCTTTAAATAATACAGGTCAGTGCTGAATAATCGAATATCGAAAATAAACTAGAGGAAGCAGTAATTCCATAACGTCTGGGAATTGTTTTTTAAAACGCAAAAATAGTATAATCTGTATATTTCCCTCACCTGGTCTTTTTCACCATTCTGCAATACCCCAAATTCACTTCAAAAGTGATTCCTTAATTTCTCAAAGGGCAATTATCTACATGTCAAGCAAGTCACAGATAAGAAAATGATATACACAGGTGGGGCTGCATCTGATGCCATCTGAACTGGATTTCCCGAGTGTGCAGCAACATGGCACCCATCTTCTTTAAAAAGTGACTGCCTGTCTCCTCACAAATTCTATATATTTTCTTAGTTATTAGTTTATTGTTTGTCTTTCTGCTAGAATATATATTCTTTGAGGGCAGGGACATGTTCTAAGTTGTATATCCTCAGGACTTACAATAGTGCCTGGCACATAACAGGCACTCAATATTTGGTGAATGAATACACGAGTGAATGACTACTTTAAAACAATTTACACTATAGCTAAACTTAACATACCCACTGGAAAGGTGTTCAAGGAATTTACCCAAGAATGATGTATAAAAAGAAATCCCTAACTACCTTCAGTTATAGAAACTAGAGAGTATTTATCCTACTCAATTCTTATATTTGTCTGGTTAATACTTGGTCATATAACACGTAATTTTACCTTTTTAACAATTATTTTATCACATCGGAACAATCATAGTAATGAAATATTAATAACATTTACAATTTGAATTTCTCCAGCATCTAAAACAGTAAACCAGCAAAAAATTTAACACAGCCTTAAAAAAAATAGGTCGCATCTTTCAAAGTTAGACTGGTTATTTTACGTTATTTTCCCTAATTACCAAAGCAATGTATGTGATGCACATAGAATAATTTGAAAATACAGAAAAACATAAAGAGAAAAAGAGGCGCCTGTATTTGTCCCTTCCCAGGACAGTGGTAGAACTTAACATCCTAATTAAATTCTTAGGGCCTACAACTGATACTCTACCTCAGGCTGCTGGCTCACTAAAGCATCATGTCACGATTAAAGCTCACTTTTCTAATCCTTTCTACAAGCTCTTGCACACATGACCTCATTCATCTATACAATATCAGCACAGTGAAGAGATTAAGAGTGAGGACTCTGCCAGATGAAAGCGGGGTTGGAGGGCTGAGTGAAAAAGGTGAAGGGAGTAAGAAGTAAAATTGGTAGTTACAAAATAGTCGGGGAGATGTAAAGTACAGCATAGGAAATATTGTCAGTAATATTGTAATAAGTATATATGGTGCCAGGTATATATACCACATTTGTTGGGGGGATCACTTAGTAAATTATATGAATGTCTAACCTCTATGCTATACACTTGAAACCAACATAAAATAATATTGAATGTCAACTGTAATTGAAAAAAATTGTTTTAAATACTGTAAAAAACAAAAACAGTGAGGGCTCTGGAGCCAGCCTGCCTGGGTAAGACTCTTGAGTCTGCCACTTATTAGGTGGTGTATACTTGCACACTTGAAACCTCCCCATGCCTCCACCTTCCACATCTGTAATAAGAAGTTAATAATAGTACCTACCTAGAGAGTTGTCATGAAAATTCAAGAAGTTAGTATTTGCAAAGCATAAGAGTGTCTGGCAACACTAAATAAGCATTTGCAAAATATATTTTCAGAAGCAGCAATAAACTATCCTTTCAATTTCCAAGTGGATAAATGGTCTGCATATTTTATATAAAACATTTTGTCTAATACTCTTACAAACAGGCTTTGCAGTTAGGTGAGAACTGACTGTTCCAAGAAACTTAATTCCTAAAGATCGTCTAACTAAAAGATCTTAGTTTAAATGAAAGGGGAAAAAAAATTACCTCATAAACTTGTCTAATATATCCTCTACCCACATGTGCATTCGAAGGGACTGAAATCCATACTGCCAGATTAGTTTAATTATGTTAATTATAAACCAGCTGCTCTCCTCAAACACCAGACTCTCTCCGTTATACACCCCAATTAGGCCACCAGAACCCTGGACAACAGAGAGACCTGCAAAAACAGAGAAAAGGTAAGCAAAGTCAGTGGTTCCTATGCTGAGCAAATGATAGAAAGTAATCTGAAGCTATTGGGGACACTCTGAAGTAAATGAATTCTGGGCTTCTCCCAGTTCTCAGGAGACATATTAAAGAAGCTCTATCTTTAGAATAGTGAAACACTATAACTCACTACATTGTCCAAAAGTAGATTCTCTAAAAGATGGGTCAGGGGATCAGGCAGCAATATCAAAATTAGACTGGCTATTTTTTGGCCTAAAAAGACTAAAAAGTCAGAAGAAAAAAACAGATTACCAACCGAATTCAACTTAAAAACAGAAATGTCACAGACATGAATCTCTGCAGTATAACTGCTCCTGGAATACATTTGCCCTCATGGAAGAAAGAGAGGCCCAGGAAGCATGCACAGGAAATGTGGACAGCAGCTAAGGGAAAGGTGGCATCCCATTATACTATTTTGCATAACTGGAAGGCAGCCAAAATTACTCAATATCCCAATATTCCCTGAGAAAAGGGCCTGCAGAGGTCTGCCAGATATCCCTCACAACCTGTCCAGCTACTCTGCTGGTAGGGAAGTAGTCAGTCAAATGTCTCAGCTTCTAAGCACATGTCTGCACCCACAGCTGTGTGAGTGACATTAAGTCAGACACTTCAAGCTTCTGGGCTCCATTCTCCCAGCTGTAAAATGAGCACACTAGGTTTCTAACTCAAACCACTCTTTGATTCTTCAACAGGAACCCAAAGGTTTAAGAACTGACAACAGCAACCATCCCCACCCCCAACCCTATGGCTGTAATTCCAGATAACTGAAGATAACTGATAACTAGTGTCCCATTACAGGAGTAGCTCCTAACCAAGGCAGTACCAACTGCTAGCAGGAAAGTGAGGAAAATAGTTTTACCAACTTCTCCATAAAAGACAATTAACATGATGGAAAAGTTTCAGTTACCTATCTGACAAAAATATTCATGGATGGTCACACAAAAAGCTGCTTAGCTCTAAAACCAAATTACATACCCAGGTCTTTGACAAAGCGCTTCATGTGTAGGTTTAAAGGATGGATGACTGAACCTCCTGTCTCATATTCTTGCCCCTGCACAGTCATGGTGGCTAGACGGCCCCCAACTTCTCCTCTTTCAAACAGGTCAATCTTCACATCTTTTCCAAATTTCTGCCGCAGATAATAGGCTGCCGAAGTGCCACCAATTCCAGCTCCAATAATCGCTATGGAGGTTAAAAAAAAAAAAAGGAAATTTCTTTCCCTCTTATCAGCTGTGTGCGTTTTGTTGTTTTTGAAAAGTCATTAAGCAATAACAAATGTTACTTGACTATTTTTAATCATTTAGGCAAGTCTGAGTAGGGGTATGCCAATGACAGCTGCAGTGAAGACAGAACTCTGAATCTGGACAGACACTGCCCCCAGACAAAAGTGGTAGTAGATTAATTTACAAATTGACATTAATTAGAATGTTTTTGCCGGATTTCCAAAGATTCTCAGTTCTTTGTGGAGGCACCAATGGGCCAGCACATCCTTCTTTGTGCTCAACGCATGAGAACAGAGGAGATGGGTCTTTTCAATAAGCATTTCAAGTGGCCGCCATTTTTGCCTAGATTGGTTCGGTCTCATTAATCTAGACAGGTCAATGATTCCAAATAGAGTTTTATGGGGAAGAAGAAACAAACAAACAAGAAGCAAAAAAGCAAGATGACTGAAACTAGGCAGAGAAATTGTGCAAGCCAGGGGCCTTTGAGAGGCCGACCTCAGCAAAGCGGAGGGAAGGGATTCCACCCTATCAAGGGAAGCAAACCCGGTCAGCTTGTTTGCACTACTCAATGCGCTGAGCCCGCGTGCGCCTGTCATCTGCAGAGCGGAGGCGGCTCTTCGCTCAGGACAAACCAGAAGACTGGCCTCCCAAAGGCGCAGCAGGGGAAGTTGGCGAGAGGACTTGGTCTCCGAGCCCCAGAGCTCCGGAGACAGGGACTGCAGGCACGCTTAGAGGCCTCCCTCCCGCCCGCCCGCCTGGGTCTCCTTTCCATGGCCAATTCTTCAAGTGGGCACGTCTCCATGCCCCGGAAGACATGGTCTCTGGGGCACAGAAAGCGGCACTGAGACGTGATCAGGGAAGATCGCAACCTGCACTCTTCCCGGTTCGGCCCGCGCGGCCTGACGGACGTCACGGCTGCGGGCCCTGGTGCACTACACACCGAGCGCCCGGCGCGGGGCGCGCTCCCGCACCTCTTTCCGTACTGCCCCCTTCTAGCCTACCGATCTTATCCGGCGGAGCACGCAGCTCGGCGCTCCCGAGGCAACTCCAGCTGCACAGTAGCAGCCACAGCCCCAGAAGCGCCCAGACGAAATCCCGGGCGTGCCCCATAGCTCCTAGAGACCCGCGCTCCGCCTGAAGGTCTCCACCGTCCTCCCGCTGACGCGCGTCTGCGCGCTCCGCCCTCCCCGCCCCGCCCGCGGCTGGCCTCGCCCCTCGGAGACCCGCCTAGGTCCGTCCCCCGCGCGCCCCCGCCCCTGACACCCCAGGTCCACTGATCCTTCCAGAAGCTCCGAACCCTGGTCCGCTCGGTCCACCAAGCCCACCCTGCTTCAGAGAGACACCAAAGGCACCGGAGGAGGACTACCCAGCGCTCCTCCTTCCTTCCTATCTATTTGGGTGAAACACCTTATTACTTACCTAGTGGTCTCTTCTGTCCCTTCAGTAGCTCCCTCTCAAAGAATGCACACAGCTAATAGCTGTCTAAAACAGACCAGTGGAATTCCAGATATTTATTGAGCGATCACTATGTTCCAGGGAGTGTCGGGTACAAAATGAATGAATAAATGGTGCTAGGTGAAAGGAAAAATGAAGGACACCTGGGATGGGCTGGTCCAAGGTGAAGGCAGCGGAAAAGTAGTGACAGACATGAGCAAAAGTAGTGTACCCATATCATACGGTGGAACATTATGTAAGCATTAAAGAGAATGTAGGATCTATAACTATGGTCTTGGTATTGTTAGGCGAGAAAAATGATGCATATTATATGATCTCATTTTTGTAATTAAGATACCCACCATCACCACCACCACCACCGCCCCCCAAAAAATGTATGAACATGAAGAACAGTACGGGTGGAAGGAAAATAAGTTGGGTAAAAAGAAGGTTGAACTTGGGGAAAGAGAGTAGAAAATTCAGTGCAAAAAAGAATATTCATTAATTGTATAAAATATATAGAGTTCCTTATAAGCGACAGGCAATTTCTAGGTGATTGAGAAAAATTAGTGAACAAAATGGATTTTTAAAAAATATTTATTCTGAGCGCCTGAGCAGAAGACGTGACCTGGAGTCACCTTAGCCCTAATTAGGCTGAAAATGCTGGGTTTCCTGGGAAGCTTTTAGGTAGCCGGATCCTAAAAGCGGGCTCTGGTATGGGGCGTGAAGAGGGTGCACCTCGCCCATTTCTTTTCTCTCTCCAGATCCAAACACACTACATGAAGCCACAATCCCCTACCACCTCCTCTCTCAGTTGTAAAAAGGAGGGGCCGCGTCTGGCAGAGGGGGGCGACTTAAGGCAGAAGAAAGGGTAGACCCCTCCTAGGGGAGAGGGCCCCGGAGCGGCGGTTGCGGGGAACCGCGGCCCCAGGCCACAACGCACGCGCGCACAGCCCAGAGGACAGGGATCAGATGTAGCTTCAGTGAGACTGCAAGAAGTGTTAGGGGGTTATAAGAGTAACCTGAGACGGAATGCCCAGAACGCTGTACGGTTTACAGCGAGTTTTCAATTGCGCTGTTTTCCTTAGTTCTGCATGTAGCCATTTGGGATCCCATCCTCGTTGCTGAAGCAATGATTTGATCCTCAATTTTACATCTGCGCAGAAAAGTTTTAATGTGTATTAGAAACCAGGGCATTTGCTAATTAAAGAGTTTTCGAAACACGCGCACAGAAAAATAAAATATTTATTCTAATGAAACTAACATTCTAGTGAAGGGAGACAGATGAAAATTAGAATAAGTAAATGATGTAATATAGAGAGTAGGGTAAGAAGAATGGGAATGGGTTGCAATTTTAAGTATGACAGAGTAGGCTTCATGGAACAAGGTAGCATCTGACCAAAAGCTTGGAGGAAGTGAGGGAGTAGGCCAGGCAAATATCTAGAGAAAGAGCTTTCTAGCCAGGGAGAATGCCTTGTATGTTGAGGAAGAGCAAAGAGGCCAGTGAAGCAGAGTAAGAAAGGGTGAATGGAAGTGTTAATGGAACAAGATGCAAGTCACACAGGAAATAAACATGTCTACTTAAGAACATAAAAATATGAAGATTAAGTCTCCTTTTGTACTGTATCTAAAAATTACCAAGAAAGAACTAAATTCTGTGTCTTTTATTTTCCTTTTTCCAAATTGCATTATGCCCACACCTCAGTGCATATTTGTTGGTTGATTAGAATCGACCATGTTAGTGACCTTGGCACAAGTGTCATGTTTGGAAACTTTCATTTCTGCTACTGAAACCTCGGAAAAGAGTTTACTGAACTTGGTGAAGAGACAGTGTAAAAGACTTGCAAAGTGAGAGGTGGATGGAAGGCTGTCTTATTCTGCACTCTTGCCCTTTTAAAATAATAATGCCATTGAAACTCAAAAAGATTTTTTAAGAATCATGGGGGGAAAATGTTACCACATATATGAAGTGTAATAATAAGGTAACATTTATACAAAGGAGTGTTGTTAAAAATAGTAGTCTCCCAAAAAATCAAAGCAATAACATTCTCCCCTTGACAAAACTCTAGCTGGGCTCCTCTGAGCACTCTTTTTCATTGGGTTTCAACTTTGGCCTATGAACACTTGAAAAAAATGCTAACATAGTTTCTAATAGCTCAAAGCTGCATCCTTAGGATAACCCTAGCTCCCTTTCAATTGCCTGTCTGAAAAAACTCAAGGATCCCAAAGGAATTTACTGTTTATTTCAGCCAACAGATGAAGACAGAACCCCTGTATCCCAGTCTCTGGGAGAGTAGGAGCCAAACTGATAAGCACCAGTTTTGCCCCCTCTCAATTTTTGTAATCTTTCACTTTCCTGACTTTACTGAGCCCCTGCTCATCACCCTCCCTATTCCTTCATTCTCCCATTCTCACTTCTCTGTAGATCAAAGTTGAGTTCAACTCACACTGGGCTCTTTTCTCCGTTGTAATGGTATATTACTGATTAAAATTAAAACTTTAATGTCTGGCTTTGTTTGTCTTTGACAACATTCAAATCTACAATTATGCCCTTGCTCCATGTCTTTTTTCTTGTTTGAAATGACCTTAAAGAAATTTATTTTAGCTTCTTACTTCCTCACATCTCATTTCTTTCTTATTCTTAATAGTCTAAATGCTATTAATTCTGTCTTAGGAAATTCAGAAGCAATATATGAAAAGATAAATATATTTGACTACATAAAACATTTTTAGATAGCTAAAGATAGAATCTTTAAAGTTTTAAAAATTAATGCATGAGAAAAATATTTGCCATTAATATGACAAACAAGATTGTGGTATGTATCACAAACATACAAAGAGCTCTACAAATTGACAAAAAGAGGTAAACAACTCAATATAAATACAGACTAAGTATATGACTAGGCAATTCACAAAAGAGAAAGCAAGTGCTAAGGGTCAGAAAAATACACATGAAGAGATGCTCAGCTCCAGTAGTAGTTTAGATGAATGCAAATTAAAACAAGGAGATACGATTTTTCATCTATCATATTGGCAAAAATTAATAGGACTAATAACATCTTCATGTAGGAGAAAATGGGGTAAAGTGGGTAGAGATCTCAGGAAATGACTTTCAAATATTGTCAGTGGGGCTGTGAATGACTAAAACCTTTTAAAAACAATTATCAGCTAAGATATATAGATATATTCTTTAATTCAGAAATCCTACATTTGGGAATCTATTTTACAGAAATAAAAGAATCAGTCAGAAGGATATACATAAGGATGTTTATTGCAACATTGTTCATAGTAGGGAAAAAAAAGGAGTAACCTTAATGTCCATCAATACCATTTATGGTCATTTATTCAATTTACCTTGAATAAATTGTGGCATATTCATTCTATGGACTATTTTGCAACTATTTAAAAAATTAATTAGATCTATGTTAGTTGAACCGGAGAATATCTATGATGTAAGTTTCAGTTAGAAAAGAAACCTGCCAAGTAACATCAACAGCATAACCACATTTTTTAGAATAACAAAAAATCCCAAGTATTTATATATATGTACATTTGTATGCATATAAATAAGATCTAGAAGTTTACTAATCTCTTAATACTAATTACCTCTAGTGGGAGAGAATGAGGAAATTATTAATCTTTTGCTTATTTACCTATACTGTTTCACTTGTCACAGTGAGCATGTATTACTTTTGTAACTTTGAAACTTCAATTAAGTTTTTAACAAAATTTAATAAATATATAATAAATAAAAATATAATATATAATAAATAATAAAGATTTAATAAAGTTTTTAAAGCTTAAAAAATACTTGTGCTATAGCCATACAATGGAATTTTATTCAGCTACAAAAAAGGAATGAAGTATTGATACATGCTATGATATGATAAATCATGAAAGCATAATGTTAAATGAAAGAAGCCAGTAACCAATGATCACATACATTATTGCATGATTCCATTTCTATAAAATGTCTAAAATAGGCAAACGTATAGAGACAGATTCATGGGCTGAAGAATGGGGAGGGATGGGGAATGGGGAGTGACTGATAATTGGTAAGGGTTTCTTTTTTGAGGTGATGAAAATGTTCTGAAATTGATTATAGGGATGTTTGCACATCTCTGTAAACACACTAAAAACCACTGAACTGTACACTTTAAATGGGTGAATTGTAAGTTATGTGACTTATGTCTCAAAAAGCTGTTAAAAACTACTATCCCCTATTAACATTTGTTTTATTTATCTTCAGAAGTCTAATACTTTATATCTTTAAATAAAATCCGAATAACATGCCACAGATTCTAAAATTCCAAAAATGGAAATCCAAAAATATCATACTCTAAAGGAACTAATTCCAAGAGGACATCACATTTTTGGATGCGAACATTCTTCTATGTTTAAAAAATATTTCACACAATATAAAATGAAATACAAAATGCATAAGTACACTAAACGACATTTCAGAGCCTTAATTTTTCTCACCCCAATAAAGAAAACTTAAATGTATCTTCTGACTTACTTGATTTTAGGATTCTTGTGACGATTTGCATTAAATAGCTATTTTAAAAAATATTTTCCAATATACATTGAGCACACCAAAAAAAATGCAAATATGAAGAAAAATTCGGCAAAGATCTGGAAATATTTTCCTGACTCTCAAAAATTTAGTTAACACTAAGACAAATTCTTTGTAATGAAACTCTCACATTTTAAGTAAAAAAAAAAAAATAGAAATTTTTCTG